ACAGTAAATGACAGTTAATACAGTAAAACTATGCCCAGTTCCATGGAGCGTTAATCAAACACTTAATACACTGTTGATCAGTGTAATAAAAGAAGCTGCGCAATGGGAAAATAAGTCATGGCTAAATCTCGGATATTTGAAGGCTGGTACTTATTAAATAAAAATGGCACATGCACGCTACACAGAGGAGAAAACAAATTAAGAACTTATCAACTATTGTTCACAAAATAAAACAATTCCAAAATACTCACAGAAACATTAAAGAAAACATAAACAGTAAGATAGAAATCCAAAACATTCAAAATTGGTCAGAAAAAAAGAAAGATAATTAAGGTACAGGTGAGCAGTACACTAGAGAATTCTCTAAACTAGAACTTAGTGATGTTTATCACCTTCCAGGCGCCGTCCTCATTCTTGCAACGGACGAGGCGGAGCACGATGCCATCCTCACTCTGTCCGTGATCGACGGCGACCTGGTCGACGGCGTCCTTGTCTCCCTGACACGTCGCTGGTTGCACCACGGCCCTCGGGGTGGCCACGATGCCAACGACCTCACCGTCGGGCGCGCGCTTGAAGACGACGCCGCCGCCCTCCCCGCCGCCGTGCTGGTGGACGACTTGCAGGCCGACGTCCATGAGCACGTCCTTGATGTTCTCGGTCTGGGGCTGGTTGCCCTCAGTCTGGGGATGGGGGTGTTTGGTCCGCTCGTGAGTGCGCAGGTAGCTCCGCTCGTAGAAGGAGGCCGGGCAGTGCTGGCACGTGAACGGCTTGACCCCGGTGTGCCGCAGCTTGTGTACTCGCAGGGTGCGCGGCGTCGCCAGCCCTCTGCCGCACACGTCGCAAACGTGCCGCGGCCGGTGCACCTCGCGGACGTGTCGCCTCAGGGCAACCTTGGTGGTGAACAGGCCGAAGCACGTCGTGCACACCTCGGCCTCGGCGGGGACCGTTTGCAGGTCCAGCGTGCTGCTCACCGTGGCGTCCGCGGGCGTCGTGGCCGCCGGAGGGTAGCCGTAGCCGTCACTGCAAGCAGAGAGGAGGTCAGGACCCAGGACAAGAAAGGTCGCGAGAAGCGACGCGGCGGCGCGGTCGGCGCCGGCGCCCACATCGGGGAGGTGCAAGACACAGACCTGCTGGCGCTGTCCTGCAGGCACATGCGCATGATCTCCTGCGTGCTGGTCTGCAGCTCGTCCTCGGTGAGGTACGTCGTGGCGTCGGGGGCCATGACGACGGGGAGCACGGGCTCCACGAGCTCGAACATCTCCGTCAGCACCGGCGCCTGCTGGGCGTACACCAGCTGCTGAGGGAACATCAGCTGGGTCGAGGAGGTGCCCAGGTAGTCCTGGTAGACGTACTGCGGCTGCGGCTCGTCCAGAAACGTGTAGTGCCCGGGCGCCTTCATGTCGGCCAGCATGGTGAAGTCTATGTCTTCGGGGAAGTGCCTGGCGGAGCGAGATATTCGCTTGGTTAGAACCACAAAAGACCCAGGGAAGGCGAAAGTGGGCGTTGACAAGGAGGTGCTCTGGGGGCGAGCGCAACGAGACCACCTTCGCGATGAGAAAAGCTGAGAAGATAAACTTCAGCGAGACGAGAAGACACAAATGATTACAGGGCGATATCGCGTTCGTTCAAATTAGTCGCGAAGACAATCGTGACATTCACAGCAAAAACGTAAAATTTTGGAGGTTAAGGTACGTTGGGGCGATCGACCCTGCGCGGGCTGGTTAGAAAACTCGGGCGCGGGTAGCAAGGGGAACACACTTCATTATTACTCACCTGTACGAGAGTGACACATCCTGCAGAAAGGGGGCTTCCATGGTGTCCTCAGGGTCCATGTCCGAGTGGGCGTCCTGGCGTCCTGGCCTCAACTGACGTCCGAGTCTGTCTCGCGTCACTCCTTGGACGATATCGCACTGGCGGCTTGAGTATGGAGAAAAGGCTGACGCAAAGGGCGGCAGGACAAGGACGTCTTTGAACCTCAAGTTGCTCGTCGCTGTTATTGTTGATGTTGTTGTCGGCGTACACTTCTCCAAATCATAAACACGGGGTGGGACAGACGGAAAGGGCGCGATACGCTTGCAAGCTGAGACAGGCCGGCGGAGGGGGAGGGGGCAGGGGACCGGGGGTGTCAGAAGGCGGCGGGCAGCAGCCGACCCTGAGGCCGAAACTGCGTGACGCATCGCTCTTCTCGGTGATTCCTTAGATAAGAATTTTTACGATTCACTTCCGTTCAACGTATCTTTAATCCCATTAACTTATTGGCAGTGCTGCCTGAAATTTGAAAGAAACGACAGGCGCCTGGGAGGTTAGTCCGCAAGGTGACATCCAGAGCGCGCCAGTGTCGCTGCAACAGCTGTTGCTGTTACAGTGCTTCGGGTTCTGCGAACAAGGTTAGGCTACTGTTTTCAATGTGTCGATTTTCGGTTGTGCGGTGAGTAGCGGTTTGGATCGGTACGTGGATTTGTGATTCAGCTGTCGCGTCAAATACGTTGTTGTGGTGACAGGTTCGCATATCCCTAATGTTGCAAACCGTGGAGGCAGTTGTCGGTTCCCGTGACGCTCGGCTGCTCGCCACCGACCGACCCGTTGCTCCCCACGTCCGCCCGAGAGGAAGTCGCCGAGGCCGTGCTGCAGATAAGAAAATCATCCCCGGAGCCATCTCCAAAGCCATGAGGATCGAGGAGGAGGAGGAAACGGATCAGGTGAGTGGCGGCAGGTGGCCCACCCGCACCCCTCCCCCTC